TTTGGATTCACTCATGACTCCAAGGAATTGCTTCCTCCATCCCTCCAGATCAGGCTTTCGATCAGAGAAGTACCAGATCCTCCGTTTCAGCTCCAGAGGGAAAGCCGCTGGGATCTCACAGGGCTCCTTCTCACTTCTGCCAGAGAAAACAGAGGTAACCTCCACTCACGGAACCCAGGATTCCCCCTGGGAGCAAAGGAGGGCCAGCCAAGAACAAAAGGTAGGCCTCCTTTTGCGTGGGACAATGGCCCCCAGAGGACCCTCCAGCAGCCACACAGGTGGGCGGGGCTTCAGCTGGCTGGGGCAGACGGGGCAGTCTGCTTGTGTTCAGTTATTAGGGTCAGCACTGCGTGTGCTTTGTGGGTTGTGGGAAGTTTGCCCCTTTGGGGGTGATATTTGGATTGTGGGGTCTGCATAGATGAGCTTACTGGTGGGAGGTGTGCTTTGCAGGCAGAGAGGAGCCTTCTGCCATGCGTGAGCGAGGGGAAGGAGAAAGAGTGGTCCAAACTCGACAACCAGACCCTGTTTTTGTCTTGAGAGACGCTGGTGATCTGCATTCTCTGCTCAGGAGCCGGGAGGAGCCGGTCCTCCCAGTGCCGTCCAGACCCTTCCCTGCACCAGTAGAAATGAGGGGGACGCACTCACCTCTGCAAGGTGCTTCTCACATCCTGGAGGGGAAAGAGGGAAAGAGGAGGGGCTCAGTGGGTGTCACTCTGCACTTCTGAGATGCGCCTGCCCAGTCCTGTTCGGTGCCTCCACTTGGCACAAAGGGAGGGACAGAAACCATCTCCACCAGGGGGCACCAGGAGGAGCTTCATGACGAGGGACATGAATGGACTGGCAGATTCCACCACCGCCAGGAAGCCTCCAGCTGAGTGCCAAGACCGATGCTCATCCTGGAGGCTCCTGCCAGTAACGGTGCTGCTTGCCAGGCCAACATGCGCGATGCCCTCTGGGAACAGGCACAACCCTGAAGCATGAGGAAGGACCTTCATGCGCAAACAGCTGCACGCTGCCACGCTGCCCCGCGCCACCAACGGAGGCCAGTACCACCGGCCAGGACGCAGGTCCGGTTCGGGTTGCCCCGCCCCCCCACACAGGTGAGAGCGTGCAGGCCTGGGCGGGGCTTCAGAAGCACCCTGCGGCCTCAAAGCGCTGGTGGCGGGTGAGGCCAGCGGCCTCGGGCCTGGGGCCGAAGGGAGATAGCCAAAGGGCGGTCGACGCCGAGCGGGGGGCTGGGCTGGCCAGGGGCTTTTGTTGAAATTGGTCCACCTACCGTTGAAGGTTAGGGAAGGGGGAGGTTTTTTTTTTTTTAACTGCTTTTATAATTTTATTCTGTTTTAATCTGTTTTATGGTGTCATCCCTGGCCATGTCGACGTTTATGTTTCCTGGGGAGTGCGCGGGCGCTGCCATTGGCGTGGTCACGGGCAATGGTCGTTACAACAATAGGGGCTTAACGTGTCCACGTAGAAGAAGGATGGACAGATGGCTGACACCTGTCCCTCCTTCTGGTCCTGCCCCCAACCAGAGGGCGCCAGGTAGCCTTGTCAACCGCCCCTCGGGTCTGACGGTACTGCTGCTCAATGCCAGTTCGGTCAATAATAAATCTCTCATCCATGACTTGATTGTGGATGAGGGGGCCGACCTGGCTTGCATAACGGAGACCTGGGCGGGAGAGCGGGGGGATGTCGCCCTCTCTCAAATGTGCCCGTCCGGGTAACTGGTTCAGCACTGTTCACGCCCAGAGGGGAGGTAAGGGGGAGTGGTTTTGGTTTACCGAGCCTCCATCTCTCTCACGGGACTTCCCTCTCCCTTCGAGGCCAGGGCTGGAGTGCCTCTACTTGGTGTTGGGCGAACGAGACAGTTTGGGGATTCTGTTGGTGTACCGTGCACCCTTCTGCCCAACAGTCTCCCTGTCTGAGCTTACGGAGACAGTCTCGGACTTGGTGTTGAGGACCCCCAGGATGCTGGTCCTGGGGGACTTCAATCTCCATGCCGAGTCTGGACTGACCGGGGCGGCTCAGGACTTCACAGCCTCCATGAGGGCCATGGGGCTGTCTCAACATATCTCCGGCCCGACCCATGAACGTGGACACACTCTGGACCTGGTTTTCTTGATGGGGCAGGAAGAGGGTGTCCTGAAGTTGAGGAATTTATGTTTGACTCCCCTGTCATGGTCAGATCACTTCCTGGTGAGGTTCGTGCTCGAGAGCGGCCTCTCCCTCTGTAAGGGTGCAGATCCGATTGTGTGGGTCTGCCCCCGGAGCCGGATGGATCCGGATGGATTCCTGAAAGCCCTGGGGGAGTTTCCAGCTGACAAGACTGGTGCTCCTGTCGAGGCTCTGGTCGAATTGTGGAATGGGGAGATGACCAGGGCTGTGGACACGATCGCTCCTAAGCGTCCTCTCCCACCGGGCAGAGCCCGCTCTTCCCCTTGGTATACACCTGAATAGCGGGCGATGAAGCAGGTTGGGAGACGGCTAGAGTGTAGGTGGAGGAAATCACAGGATGAATCTGATTGTGCACACTTGAGAGCCCACTATCGGGCCTACGCTGTGGCGGTGAGGGCGGCGAAAAAAAAGTTTTTTTCCGCTTCCATTGCCTCCTCACAATGCCGTCCGGCGGAGCTTTTTCGAGTGGTGCAAAGCCTGGTTCACCTGGGTCCTAAGGAAGATCCGGTTTCACCCTCAAAGGCCCACTGTGACGACTTTGCCAGGCATTTCAGGAAGAAAATCACTCAGATTCGTCACGAGCTAGACTCCACTAAAGAATCAGAGGTCTCTGGGGAAACGCCAATGCTGCCGTCTGGTCCAGAATTATTGGATGAATTTCAGTTATTGCGGCCCGATGATGTGGACAAGGTGCTTGGACGAGTACGTCCCACCACTTGCCTATTGGACCCTTGCCCGTCTTGGTTAATAAATAATTCCAAGCACGGAATTGGTACCTGGATCTTGGAAGTGGTTAACGCTTCTCTGAGGGAGGGTCGGGTGCCTGCCCCTTTAAAGGAGGCGGTAGTCCGACCGGTCCTGAAGAAAGCATCACTAGATCCAGAGAGGGCGACTAACTATGGACCTGTGGCCAACATCCCGTTTCTGGGCAAGGTGTTAGAGCGGGTGGTGGCGGGACAATTCCAAGCACTCTTGGATGAAACTGATTATCTGGACCCATTTCAGTCCGGCTTCAGACCCGGGTACGGTACTTAATCTGCCTTGGTCGCCCTGTACGATGACCTGTGCAGGGAGAAGGACAGGGGGAGTGCGTCCCTGTTCGTTCTTCTGGACCTCTCAGCGGCTTTCGATACCATTGACCATGGTATCCTTCTGGATAGACTAGCGGGATTGGGGGTTGGAGGCACTGCTTTGCAGTGGTTCCGCTCCTATCTCAACGCCCGATTCCAGAAGGTAGTGCTGGGGGACTATGGCTCTGCGCCATGGCAGCTAAGCCATGGAGTACCACAGGGCTCCATTTAGTCCCCTTTGCTGTTTAACATCTACATGAAACCGCTGGGAGAGGTCATCAGGAGGTGTGGGCTACAGAATCATCAGTACGCTGATGACACCCAGCTCTACCTCTCATTTTCCACTAATCCAGGTGAGGCAGTGGCTGTGCTGAACCGATGCTTGGCCGAGGTAATGGGCTGGATGAGAGCCAATAAACTGAAACTCAATCCAGACAAGACGGAAGTCCTGTTGGTTGGTGGATCGGGCTTCGGAGAGGGTGGATTTGACCTGGTCCTGAATGGGGTGGCACTCCCTCTCAGGGACAAGGTCCGCAGCTTAGGAGTACTCCTCGACCTGGAGCTTTCATTGGAAGCTCAGGTGACAGCGGCAGCGAGGAGCGCTTTCCTTCAGCTTCGGCTAATTAATCAGCTGCGCCCCTACCTGGAGTACGACTGCCTGGTGACGGTGACACACGCGCTGGTGACTTCCCGCCTTGACTTCTGTAACGTGCTTTACGTGGGGCTTCCCTTGAAGACAGTCCGGATACTTTAATTGGTTCAAAATAGAGCTGCCAGGTTGCTGACAGGGACGGGGCGTTATGCTCAGATGACTTCAGTCCTCCGTCAGCTTCACTGGCTTCCCATTGAAGCCCGGGCCCAATTCAAGGTGTTGGTGATGACTTATAAAGCCTAAACAGCTTGGGTCCTGGTTACCTGAAGGAGCGCTTACATCCATATATGCCCGACCACCCCTTGAGATCTGCGGGAGAGGCCCTTCTCGGGGAACCCTCCATGAAAGAAATTAGGAGGGTAGGTACTCGGAGGAGGGCTTTCCCTGCGGTGGCGCCCAATCTATGGAATGAGCTTCGCAGAGAGGTCCGTCTGGCGCCGTCGTTATTTGTTTTTTGGTGCAAGGTGAAGACCTTTTTATTTAAATGTCATTTTAATTGTTAACAATATTTGCTTATTTATCCGGCCAGGGTGACTTCTTTTATATTTTTTATTTATTTTATATTGTTAATTTTAATTTTTATATTGTTATATTTGTATTTTATTGTGTTGTAAGCCGCCCCAAGGCTTTGGCAAGGGGCGGCATAAAAATGTTTTAATAAATAAATAATAAATAAATGTTCAGGAAGGGAGGATGTGAGAGGATTCAGACTCAGGCCAGGCGCCTCCCACAGCCTCTTTTGCTCCCGCAGCCTGTCCTTTGGAGGGCAGCCTTCTCCCGGCTTCCCCAGGCAGGAATCAACCACTCCTTTCCAGCAGCAGAACAATGGGGCGCTTGCCCACAGGAGCCACACTGAGAAGCTCCCCCTTGTGTGCAGAAGACAATTTCGTCAGGCTTTGGGGGCACCAGTTGTGAGCGGAAACATGCAAGAGGAGTGAGGTTAATGTCTGCCTGTCCTGGGGCTGCACCATATTTGAGATTCTGTTTAGCACAGGAATAGATTACTAGATGGAGGTGTTACTATTACTACTACTCTACACGACTCTGGTGCGCCCGCAATTGGAGTATTGTGTTCAGTTTTGGGCCCCTCATTTTAGAAAGGATATAGCCAGGTTGGAGTCAGTGCAGCGTAGGGCCACAAGGTTGGTGGCTGGTTTGCAGGGAATGCCATATGAGGCGAGACTGAGGGAACTGGGTCTCTTCAGCCTGGAAAAGAGGAGATTCAGAAGGAATCTGTTGGCGACATACAGGTATGTGAGGGGATGTCACATGGAGATGGGTAGAGACCTGTTCTCCCCTGCAGAGGAAGGCAGGACACGCTCCAATGGAGCAAAGTTCAGGGCACCAAGGTTCAATTTGGATGCCAGGAAGCACTTCCTGACAGTCTGGACCCCGAGGGTGTGGAATGGGCTTCCACGAGAGGTTGTTGAGGCCCCATCGGTGCGGGTGTTCAAGGATAGGCTGGACGACCACATGGTGGGCATGTCGTGAGTGGAGCCGGCTGGTGCCGGAGGTCAGACTAGATGGCCTGATAGGCCCCTTCTGACTCTCTCTGTTTCTATGTTTCTAGATCCGACCTGCCTTCCAGATTGGCAACACTACTAGGCAAGACTGCTTTGCGGTCGCTTCCCCAGCCCCGCACCACCCTCCGCTTCGGCCTGGGTCTCATGAAGGGCCTCACCGCAGGGTGGCCCCGTCAAGGGGTCCGCACTGCCTGCCTCGGGCCTCCCTCCACACACGCAGAGGCGAGCAGCATCTGGCTGAGTCTCCTCCTTGGGGGATGTGGGGGCTCCTGCCCCCTCCTACCTGCAGGAGTTCAGCTGCCGGCTGCCGACTCTTCTCCTCCACCTCCCGCATGATGCCTTCAAGGGAAGAGAGTTCCTTGGAAAGCCAGGCCAGGTGGTCCTCCGCTTTCCTGGCAATCTCCTCCTGCAGCTCGTCCACCTGGGCCAGGAGACGCTTCTGTTGCTCTTCCAGAAAGTGATGCAGGCGCCTGAACTGAGCCACCGTCTCCTCCCACTCTGCCTTTGTTTGCTCCTGCAAGAAGGAGAGTGGGGAACAGCAGGAATGGGCAGCCGGAGCCGGAAACGGGGTCAGTCTTGCGAGGGATGCTCAGGGACCCCCTCTCGGAATGGCCCCTCTTGCATAATTGCTAGAATAGGTTCAGCAGCTTTGAACAATGTCATGTGCTCTGCAGGGAAGGGCTGCCCTGGGCTCTCGATTTCCCGGCATTTTCTCTTCCATGTGACCCATCCTGGCTGAAGTGCCCCTTCCCTTCCATGACACATTCTGGACACTTACCAGCAGCGCCTGCTTCTCCCTTTCTGCCTCTGCTTTACATGCCAAAATCCTTCCTCTCTCATCCCTCAGACTCTCCAGGCGACGCTGCAGCAGATCCTGGAGAGGGAGGAGCAGTTCACGTTCAGTTTAGAGAAGCAGGAAAAGGTATTGAAAGGGACATTCATGATTGCTTCCCTTTCGCATCTTGGCGGGGTCAGGGGGAAGGCGGCTCTCAGGTGCCTTTTGATCCCAGGCAGATCCCGAAACGAGCTGCAACATGCGCTGCGCAGGCTCTGAGCCGAGATGAAGGGATGGTGCCATCCCAGAATGACCGGTCAAAACACCATTCAATTGACTGCCCTTCCTGAGCTCTTTAAGTTTGAAAAGGAAAAGGTTTTTGCTGCTATTTCCTCATGAGGGGAACCAGCAAGGGAGCATCCCGAAAGCAGAGGGAAGGCGGAGTGGAAGAGGCTTCCGGCCACCCCAGAAGTGACCAGTGCCACTCTCATTCCTGGGCAGGAATGGTGGACAGGGCAGCCCCTCTGTGGAGGAAGAAGCCCAGAAGGACACCGGCCCCCAGAAAGGGGTATTCCTGCTTTTCCTGGGGGAATTCTTCCCTTCGTCCGGAATTGCACTGGGGTTGGGCATGGCCTGTGCAGGATCTCTGATAGAACCCTTCTACCCTCCCTGAAATGGGCTGTTCCTCAATAAAGGAAGGATTGCAGCACCCGGAAACACAGGCAGAGTGCAGCGGGTGCCTTGAGGAAGTGCAAGGACAAGAAACGGGGAGGGGAAAGAGGGAGCACCTGAAGCTCTGAATTCCTCACAAATATTCCATGGGTCAAGGCCCTTAAGTGCACCCAGCATCTTTGATCACCCCCTTCAGTGCCGGGCTCTCATTGGCTCTGCACCCAGAGACCAGCTGGGCCGGACACACGCCTGCACACAAGCACACGCACACGCAGGGACACACTCCGGCGAATCGGGGCTGTGGGAGTGTGGCCCCTTCTTTTAATGCAATTCAGCATTTCATTTATCAATATTGTTTATTAATGGTTGAACCTGTATGTCTTGGCCACATGCAGTTGGACTTTCGCGTAGCCTTTGGGAAGATACAACAGAGGTTCGGGGCATGCAAAGGGCAGGCAGGAGGAATCTTACAGGGCCCTGATCCGTATTGCAGCTCCAGTGCGAATTGTGGCAAACTCGGGGGGTTGGAATGAGGGCAGAGCGGAAGAGGGACTGATTCCCGGGACCACCTTTTACCTGGGAGTGTCTGAGGCCGCTTTCCCCTCCTCGCTCTGGGGCCCCTCCATGCACCTCCATCATGTCCTGCCACACCGGCTGTTTCCTCTCCCCCTGCTCAGAGCAGGCACAAAACGTGGGAACTTCCCCCGCAGGGCAGCTATGCCTCTCCCTGCAGCATTTCAACGGCCTCCTTTGGCTCTGCACAACGCAGACCTGGTGCAGGGAGCAGCTGGAGGAGAACAACCTAAACAACTCCCACCCCACAATCCTGGGGCTCCTGGACTTCCCCCGGATCCCTTTTACACAAGAAAAAACACGCCTGTGAACAGCAATCCTGCCTGGCCCTTCCCAGGGGCCTGGTTCCTGGGTAATCCAGAAAGGCAAGAGATCAGAGGATCACGGAGCATCATTCCCTTCCCATTGGCGGGTCTTCGTAGAGGACATGCTCAGAGGGGCCCACAGGTATTTCTCCCACTGCCCCCACACAGGAAGTACCTGGATCACATACCTGGTACTCCTGGGAGGCCTCCTCCAGGGGAATCACCTTGTGACCTTCATGCTCCTTTGCTTTGTCACACACCAGGCAGATGAGGGCTTCGTGGTCCTTGCAGAAGAGTTTCAGGGGCTCCTGGTGAGTCTCACAGAGTTGCACCTTCCCTTCATCACCTTTGACCCCCTGCCCTCTTAACGTCTGGGCGATTTCCACAATCATGGCCAGCTGCCGATTTGGCCGGAGGTTCGTCTTCTGGAAGGTCCCCCTGCACTGGGGGCAGGAGGCCTGTGCATCTGATTCCCCCCCGCTCTGGCTCAGGCAGGCTCGGCAGAAATTGTGCCCACATTCTGTAATGATCACGGGATCCCTGAAATAATCCAGGCAGATGGGGCAAGTGGATTCCTCGCTGAGAGCCCGGACGGTGCTCTTGGGGGCAGCAGCCATGGCTTCTGCACACAGCACTTTCACTTTCCACAGATCAGAAAGTGGGAGTTTCCTTCTCGTAAATGTGAGCCCGGCCCGGCCTCGCTCTGAGGGTTTCTGTACTGGATATTTTTATGCCCTGTCTGTTATATGCAAGGTTTGGGGAGAGGGGATCAGGTGGGCACTTTGCTGGAGGCACATGAGAGTGAAGCCACAGGGCTGGATGGATTGAGACAGCACAACAGGAAAGGGGGAACCTTCAGGACAAGGTGGGCTTTGCCTGGCCTTTCTGTCCAGAGGATGGAACAGAAGCCAGTGGCCCCCAGGCTGAGAGCAGTCAATATCCCTCCCAGTCCCAGGACGGAGGTGCCAACGGGGACGGCAGATCAGCACCACTGCACTAACGCCCCATCCCAGCAGGGAGATGCTCAAGGTTCACGTGGCCGTCTTCACGGACGTCTGGAAGAGCCAAGTCTGGAGTAGGGATGTGCGAGGAATCAGTTCGCAGGTGAGACTCCATCAGAATCAGGGGAAGACACAAGGAATTTTCCAGGGAAGAATTAAAATAGGATTGCACGTGGCCCCAAGCAGAGCCCTGTTTCCCCATGGAAACCTCCCCTGCTTGTCGCCCTGCTAACCAGAGTGGGGTGGGGAGTACCAAGTTTTGAAAGCGAATGAAGGCTAGACTGGAGATAATTTAACATTTGACTCGACGCAGAGCCACCTAAACATCCGAGCAGCAGGCCAGATAATAACCGAATTGGGTAGGAAGAGAAAGATACCCCGGAGCAAGCCAGCTGAAACAACTCACTCCTCGCAGGACCTGGAGCGCCTCCAGCCCCTTGGCTCCCCCCTCCCCCCCCGTCCCGGCGGCTGCTGCTGCTGCTGCCTGAACTCCTCCGGCTCGCTGCGTTGCTCCCACCCTCCCCTCCCCTCCCTCCCGTCCAGCGTCCCCAGCTCAGCCTTCACCCTGAAGCACGGCCTGATGATGCGGAGGCAGGTGGTAACAAGCAGCACGGGAAGGGAGAGGCTCTCGAGAAGAGCAGAGCCGGGACCTTAACTGACCGGCCGCCAGGGGCAAGTGGGTGTGCAAGGCAAGGCAAGGCAAGGCAAACTGCAGAGGGCGACACAGGCTGCTGCACGGCCAGGCTGGTTGTGCGCGGCTTCCGGCAGCCACGTGGAGGGGGCTGCTGCGATGAGACCCCCACGCCTGGCGCACGGAGCAGCGCTGTTGGGCCGTTCGTGAGCATGGCAGCCTTGCAAGGGGTGGGGCTGGGGCATTTCGGTGCCACGACTGCCGGTCCGCCCAGAGAAAGCGAGGAAGAGCTCCATGTGGAGCAGCCCGCAGGCCTCGGAGGTTCCGGCTGGCAGGACTGGGCTGCGAGCTGCAGGAGGGGCGGCACGGCCTGCGAGAAGCAGCAAGACCCTGCATGACAGGAGAGACCCCGTACTGGGGGCACAAGGCTTCGGGGGAAGCGGGGAAGCCGTTCCGGCCCACTAGGAGCAGAGAGCCATTCGTCAGGCGCCTAAACAGAAAAGTAGAAACTGAAGAACATCCCGATGGCCCCCCCCACATGTAACAGCCGCTGGGAAGGTTCAGGGCTAGCATAAGGGAAGAGAACGTTTTGGCAGAGAGGAAGGTGCGGTGCATCTCCAAAATCAAGAAAAGGTGAGGACATGCAATTGCTTAAACTCTGTGTACACAAATACAAATGGTGTCCCAGGTGCCGTATTCAGCCTCTTCCATTTTCCAGCTGCATCCTCAGAACAATACAAGGTTGGGCGTTCCATCATCCCCCAAGCCAGAGCAAGGAAAAACACAGGTATGCCCCACATGGGCA